AGAAATCTAGTTAAGCATGAACCAGAGAGCAGGCAGGACATTCAGCACCTGATTTCCCTTCGTAATGGGCTGTTACCTGGAAATAAAATAATAAAATGAAATAAGCCCTTTCCTGCCCCAAGTTGTTGTGACTGTTCCTTATTATGGTGTTTATCATAGATTATAGTTGGATACATATTAAGTAAAATTCTAAATAAAAAAAGCTATTTGGACTACATGTTTGGAAGCTTGGGGGTGTAGTATTTAACCTTAGGGAAATGATTGACTTTGCCAAACTAAGAAGAACCTCAAAATGAGACAGAGAAGAGCCTCATAATGGAATTAAAATACCCACAATGGTCCATTAAGTGAAAATAGACCCCCTCCAAATAGTGTATGATTGCTTCTGTCAAATGTGGGCCTGACAACTGAACCCTGGACTTACGAATGTGGATGTAGTCGCATTATAACTTGTGGATAGGTCAGGATTGACTACAGCAGACTTTAAGCTGATCTCCAGGGTGATTGAGAGGCAGCATGTAGAACTTTGGAGATTGCTGTGTGAAAAGTGTGTATGAAAAGCATCACCCAGGAGCTGGGTAGACCTGGGCAATCAAGGAAAGACACCTTAATTTTGTAGCCTTTTTCTTTGAAATCATAGGTCCATAGGAATTTGCAAATATATGCATACTATGCAATGTGCATGGAATTCCCATGTATCTCAATGGTAAAATGTCAAACAGGAAGTGAGCTTTAGTATTCACAGGGGTTGTGATAATTCCCAGATACACATATGCTTGTGTGTGTGTTCTGCCCTACCACCATTGTAAATTTGTGTTGCTACCTACCCAGTCAAGATCCAGACCTTTCCCATAATCAGACGGTTCTCTGTGCAATTTTTTTAATGCCATGTACCTTCCATCCCTAATGTCTGGCAACTTCTAATGTGTTCTTTAACTCCATGTTTTTTGACAAGGCCTCACTGTAGTCTAGGCTAGTCTTAAGCACATAGAGGTCTGTCTGCCTCTACCTTCTAGGAAAAGGGATAAAGGCATGAGTGACCATACCTGACCATTCATAATTTTATATTCAGGAGTATTGCAGATGGGGATTCATTTACTTCGTTGTCTTTGAAATCTAACCACTGGCTCACCATAATGCCTGAGAATCAAAGTGGTACAGATACACACACACACACACACACACACACACACACACACACACTTTGTACTTTCAAGAGTCCCACATTTTTACAATAAATATTCTTTGTCTGAAAGCATTTTGTTTCTATAAGCCAAATTTGTTCATAAGAAAAAAAGTAACCAAGATACAAAAGGCCACAAAGGGTTTCATACAAGGAAACAGAACTTTATTTAGGCTGGATAAAAGCAAAAACAAATAAACAAACAAAAGCGAAAACAAAAACAAAAAACAAAAAACAAAACAAAAAACAAAAAAAAAAAACGCTGCTAGCCACATGGAGTTGCTGCCTCTTGGGAGCCAGGAGGTGCCCTCACTACAATTGTTTTGCTTACTGCTAGGTTCAGTCTCAGTGCTGCTTGCAGTTCTGAACAGATGAAGCAACAATTGTAGTCAGGTCATGTCAACTTGGGCAGAGTCCTTAAGGAGCTGTGGCTGGCTGACCATAATCAGTGAGAAGCCTTTATTAAGAGCCAACTACTCTCTTGGGACGTATGGAGAATGGAAGAATAAGACAGAGCAGAGTGTGATGTCAGCAACTGTGTGTTCTGTGGGTGGAGACATACATCTTCAGTCTGCAGCAGATCACTTAAAGCAGAGGCAACACAGATCACCAGGAATCTTTGCTCCAGGGATTGCTTTCTTGCATACGATGACTGACTTGGCTATGTACTTCTGATATGAAGTTCTGTCCAAAAACCTTTTTGAAATAACTCGAGGAGCACCGTAACCTGGGGGTGCATGCTCGCCATACCCATATAGGGTGTTAGAGCTTTCTTTTACAATGTTCAGGATCTCATAAGCAGCCTGTGCCAGTAGGAATTTTCACCAGCATGTACAAGAGTAATGGCGGATCACAAATAGAAAAAAAAAAATCATTGGCAGAAAAGCAGTAATTCAGATGAGAGTAAAATCCAGGCACATCAGGAGGCAGTGAGGACAGACCCCTGTGGGGTGGCACTTGGGGTAAAGGGAGGCTAGCTTTTCTTAATTTAAATGGGACAGCTTGTGGAAAAGACATGATGTTGGGAAGAGTTAGATGAATAAGAGGAGTAAATGTCATATAATGGCGGCCACTTGATAAAACAAACAAGCAAGGACCATGGGACATTCTTTGCTGCAAACAAAGCAATGACATTCACAAAGCAGGTAACTAAGCAAATGCTTTGAACTTGATCAATAGGACTTTGGGGAGGCAGAGGTCTTCAGGCCATGGTGAGGAGTTTGCAGAAGCAGGAAGGGTATGATGGTAAGGGAAGGTGTGTGTGTGTGTGTGTGTGTGTGTGTGGTGTGGTGTGTTTTCCTGAAGTTAGGAATTCTTTGCATGGTTAATAAAATGGATCTTTCTACATTGCCAATAGAGCTGTCACTTGGGAACCAGGAAATCCCCTCCATCCTTGGGTTAAGGTCTCAGCCTAAGTATAGAAATGTCTCCCACAGCATCTTCCTAGACAAAGAGCTAAATGGAATACAGTAAAAGGTTAAGGAAATTTTTAATGAAAGCAGAGTTTAAAGGAGGAGTACTGTGACTTGCAAAAAAGCACAAAGGGAAAAGTTACAAGAGAGAACCATTTACCTCAAGGCTTTGTCCACTGAGTCTTTTATTGACTTGACCATTAAAAAAAAAATATCTTCTACCCCAAATAATTCGAGCCTCTGGAGTGGTGACATTTCTCTGCTTGCTTGTGGTAAACAAGGAAAAATTATTCACCGGAGTCTATTACTGTTAGGTTTTAACTTTGTAGTCAGTGTATTCTGTGTGGCCAAAAGCTCATTAGTGTTTGAGAGATAACTGACTGGGCTTATTAGTGTGACTTTACCTTTTAGTCTGTGTTAGTTTTGGATCTGAAAAGAGCAACAACAGTCTCTGTTGCTATGGATCTACTCATTTGGTTTCATTAGGTTTGGGCCCAGAAAGCATTGTGTTAATGTCATCAGCTTACTCTGGTTTAGCAGCCAGTTTGACTCAGTTCATCTTTGACTTAAGACCTTCAAGTCATAAGCTGCCCCTCTCCTTCCTCTACAGTGGAGCAGTGACTGGCCGTTGATGGGGCTCACTGAACTGTCAGCCTGTGAACATTTTGAGCTCTGCCCTTGAGAACCTGATTTCTCTTTGTCTAACTCCTTGCCTACTCTGAAAGATTCTAGATACCTCATTCTGCTCTTGACTGGAAGTTTCACCAAGCAACAGCCAAAGCAAAATATGAAAACTGGAATGGGATATGGAGATGTAACCTTATTTTGATGAAACCATTGACTCAAATAAATAGCTTGATGCTGTTCCCTAAGTTGTGCGAACTTTTCTAGGAACACAAATGTGGTATTTTTCTCCAAACGTTCCCTTCTGGTGAACGTTTCTGTACCACAGTTTTACTCCTCATTCACAAATAAGGTGTAGCCCCTCTGACAGAACTGTATGTTTCTGTAAAAGGAGAAAAAGAAATGCATTTAAATGTTTCAAAAATGTCTAAGTGAATATGTTACTACAGAATAGTATTTGTTTGAAAGCTAAGCATAATTCAAACTATAAACACATAAAAAACAATAAACTTCAGCATAATGTTACTTAGATTAATGATTCCATTTGTTGCATTGCCTTTGTACAATGAGTCTCATTTATTCACGATGAAACTCTAATACTTTGATGAATGATTATCTGTTCATACTTAATACTTACTCGAGAGGAAGCAAAGAAATTCAGTAATTGAAGGTAGAATGCAGTTGTTGATATTGATTTTATTCAGTATATTTTGATGTGCCATAGACGTGAAAATATTTTATTATGCTCTTTATATATCTTCATAATTAGAAGGGGAAACGAATTCTGTCAAGTAAACATTACCTAGACTTTGAGACAGAATGAGCTAAGATTTTAGCATGTGTCACAAAATTATTTATGGTGAAACTATTAAGGACTTACAAATGTGACCCTGGGTTCTATCCATATGGCTATTTTTATAAATTCTTACAGACAAGAAGACTCCTCCCCCAAATATGCCAGGCTTAATTTTCTGCTCTATGGAGCACAGCTAGTGGGCTAGCAAGGCCTTTGTGACATTTTCCACAGCCTGAGTTGCCAACCACTAGAAGCCTGTGGCAGTGCTTAATCTACAGTATACAAGCTGACAATTGGTGAAGAGAGGTTTATGTAATTTTTGCTGATATTCCTCCCTGGTGATTACATCACCGCCAGAGAATCATAAAGGCTGAACCAGTGAATGCCTGCGACGTTAGCGCTTTCTTCCCATGATACACTCTTTCTGTTCCCTGCTTCATAGATTTCTGGCAATAACCTCTGAGATCTTGCTAAATGCCTAGAATAATGGAGCACATTTGATTGTGCTGCCTTCAGTGTGTGCAAAGGCTATGATTTCAGTCAATATTTCTACAGAGTAGCCTACATTCATTCCAATGTCTCCGGAAGAATGTTAACTAGTAAAATAATGGCACACGGCTCCCTGTATTCCGATGATGCAGTAATAAATCAAACCTGCAATTTGAAGAATTTGTAATGACATCAATTAAAGTAAGAAACTTTATTGCATGGGTAGACTACAGTTCAGAAGAGAATTTTCTGCAGTGTCATGGTAAGAAATACCTGTGTATTGCCAAATACTGTTGAGGTTTGAGGGAAATGTGGTTGTTCAGTCTTCCTATGGCACCTTCATTTGTTTCTATAACCTTTAAGTGACTCTGTGTGTGCAAAATAATAGCTCATTTACCTGGCATATGGTGACAAAGAATGAATAAGTAGACAGTTTAGCCAACCGCAACACATTTGAATGATCGAATTGGAATTCGTTTATAATAATTCCTATGAAAATGATTGAAGTTTTTTTATTTTCTTTTTGCCCTAGATATGATTGCTTTTAAAGAATACATGTGTTGATATCTGTTCATGCTAAGGCTCTGCCTTACCCTTCCTTTGGGTGAGAAAGAGAACCATGAGAACTCTGAGCATCCTGGATTTTGTTGGTTGAAAGTGGTACTGGAACCCACATTCATTTGTCAGTGGTAGATTCAGTATGATATGTAGAAGAGTGGGACTCTACAGAAAAAAAAAATGTGAGAATGGTCTCATTTTAGAGACTTCAAGCTAACTGTTTGGTGACTGGATTAGATATCCCCAGGAAAGTCTGACATTTTATAATTATGCAATAGAAATGTGATTGCATTGGCGTTTAAGATCTATAAAGTAACTTTTAAAATGACACAATTTCCACAAGCTTAGCACCTTCATCAAATGTCAACCCCTTACATAACTATGCTATAATTATAAAACCATGAATATTGATCTTATTTATAACCTGCTTGGAATGTTGCCACCATGATACACTTGTAGTATTTCTTGGCTGGTGCATGTTTTCCATTTATTCTCGTGGCTCCATCCTTCTTGGACTTAGAGAATGCCCCCAGACCATCTCCTTCTTACCCTCGATGCTTTGCAAGAGTGTTGGCTAGTTGCTTTGGAGACTGTCCCTCAATTGCTTTGTAAAGTTTTCCTTTCTAAGTTTACACTGTTCATTCTTTGTCTGAATATCATAGAAACCAAGGTGTGACCTTGTCCAGGAGGTTGAATTATCTGATGCCTAGTGGGGTGACATTTGCTAACTTGGTTGCTGTGGTGTCTGTCATTTTCTTCACTGTCAATTTACACTCTTCTTTCTCTATTAGCTACTAAGTGTCTTGTGGGAAGGCTGCCTGGGACTATCCAATATCCTATTTTTTCCTGTTTTGTTTTCTCACTACTTTTAATACCTAGTAGTGATTTTTGCCTTCAAAACAATTGATAGTGTTTCTGTCAATGCCATTTTCTTTCCCCATTGTTTCTGTGTTTCAATTTCCCATCACTTTTCATGTGACTTCTACTCTGAGAAAGAGTTCATTCTCACTTATTCAGTTGATCACACACATACAGAGCAGCTGTCGGGCATTTAGTTCATTCTGCTCACACTACTCTAGATTGGGCCATTGGAAACACCCTCTGGTTGGGTCCTGTGTCCCTATCATGTGCTATTGACTGCTGAGTTTCTGCTCGCTCTCAGCAACACAAGATCTTGTAGTCTCTTGAGTCTCTTGTAGTCTCTCATCTTTTTTTTTTTTTTTTTTGCTTTCCTCTACTTGTTCCTCTCCATTTTTTTCCAAAATCAACTATTTCCTCCAAGACCCTTGAGTCTTTTTGCTGAGGATGGATCACTGGAAACCAAGGTCTGGATAGCAAGTGTGCTCATTGCTTTGTTGCCACTGACTTGGAGAGGAAGTGTGTAATCACAGCCACACACAGAGGCACACAGCTGTACCTTCCATGTCACCGTTCACATAAAGATGCACATTTCTGTCTCATTGATGCCTCCTTTCTCAACAGTTCCCTTTCTGTTACATGTAACTGCTTCAAAAATATTACTAGAATATATTTATTGTACAAAATTATGTTACATGATGGCATTTTCATATATGTCATTTCTTTGCTCACATTCTCCCCCACACACTTAGCTTCTCTTGTTACCTCTTCCTACTCCTGATGGTTCCCTATCTCTTCCCAGATACTAACTTTGACTTTCATATATATGTTTATTGATACGGATGCATTGTTATCATTCTAAGTCTGACTTATATGATTGGTTTGATGATAACCAGATCTATCTGTTTTCTCCAAATGACATAATTTCTTCATCTTTATGACTAAACCTCCATTAGGGTGGGAGAGAAGGAGATGACAGATAGATAGATAGATAGATAGATAGATAGCTTATAGATAGATAGTTTATAGATAGATGATATCTGATAGATAGATGATAGATGGTAGATAGATAGGTAAATGACAGGTAGATATATAGATGATAGATAAGTAGGTAGATAGATGATAGATTGGTGGATAGATGATAAGTAGATACATAGGTAGGCAGGTAGGTAGATAGACAGATGGATGATCTTGAACAGTCCTAAATGTTGGAGTGTATGTATCTCTGAGGAATGTTGACTTAGATTCCTCTAACTGTGTGCCCAGTAGTGCAATAGCTGTATAATATAGTATCTCTTTGATTTTTTTTTTTTTGAGGAAACACCACACTGATTTTTACTTCCTTACATTCCTATAACAATGCATAAAACTTCTTTCCCCCACATACTTACCAGCATTTATTCTTTTCTTTCCTGATGATGACATTCTGACAGGGTGAGGTAGAATATCAGTGTAATTCTGACTTGAATTTCCAGGGTGGTTAAACGTGTTGAGCATTTTTTTATACACGCACAGGTCACATGTACTTCTTTTGGGAAGTGTCTAACTGAATTGCCCATTTGTTGGTTGGGTGTGTGGGTGTTGGGTACTTGGGTTTTGGAAGTTTTATGTATTCTAAATCCTCTATCAAATGTCTGGTGGCCACAAAATTTCTCCCATTCTATTGGTGGTCTTTTTGCTCCATGCAATCCTGTTTGATAATTGTTGTTATCATTTCGGGGGGTCTTCTGGTGTTCATTTCAGAATTCTTGCCTGTCCCTATGTTGTAATGTGTTTTGCATTTATTCTAAAGTCTTTGGCTGCATTGTGAAGTGTTTTCCTGTAGCACTTTCAAAGTGATATGTCTTATATCAAAGTGTTTGATCCCTTTTCATATCTGCTTTATTCAGACTGAGAAAATTCTCTGTTTTTTCATCAATATATTTAATCAGTCGCACGGCACTCAATGGCCCCATGAAGAACTTTCACACTTACAGTTTCATACCACTATGAAAAGTAAACCTTTACCTTGAGTGCAGTGTGTATGCACACATTTCCTCATCATTAAACTTAATCATAAAACTTATGTGGTCATGGTAATGTTTCTGAAAGTTACTTGGTTTGGGTCCATTCTTTCTCAGATCCTTAAGTGTGACTACTTATTTGTAATGCAAGGTAAATAATATCTTTGAATTTCTGAATTTAATTTTATGTTACTGTATTGACTATTTTAATATTTGGGGCCATATCAACCATAGGTAGAGACATCTCTATCTCTTGCTTACCAATTCAGTTTGTCTACATTTCACCTGAAAGTTGTTGATTTTCTAGGTTTTCAAATGTGTGCATTGATGCCTATAGAGTAGTTCCCATAATTTTATTTTATTTCATTTTCAATAATTCCTATGTAATTTCTCATTTTTTATAGTTTTACCTTCTTTCATATTTTTCCAGTCAGTTTTATGTTTTTGCTTACTTTGTTAAAGTTACATTTTAAACAACCAGGCTATTGCTTTTTGAGTTCTGTTTTCTGATTTACTTTTGTTACTTTTTATTTTTGTCTTTACTTTTTCCTCCTATATGCATTCTTTCGTATTTAGATGGAAATTCAAGTTGGTATTTCAGACATTTGATTCTCCCTATAGAATATTTAATTTATTTACAGAATTAATGCAATATTTTTGGATCAAGCAAACTTTTTTCATGGAAATTAATCCACCTTTTAAAAAAAAGTAGTGTACTTCTCTTAAGTAGTGAAGACTCCACAGCCAGGCTTTGTGGAATATGTCTGTAATCCCAGCTCTGGAGGTGGTGGCTGGACAATTACAAGTTCAAGATTAGCAAAATTCTGTCTCTAAACAAAACTAAACTAAATCAAGCCAAAAGAATAACAAAACAAACAAACAAGCAAAACACCAAGGAATAACAACAGAACCCAACCAACCAACCAAAAGCAAACAAACAAGAGACAGTGTAAAAGGGGTGGAGGAATGAAGCAGAGAAAGAGGCCAGAAATAGCATGGGCATTGAAAGTCCGACAGGCATGGTTGAAGTCCCAGATCCATTGTTTTCTTTTCATCTGACTTTGGCACATTTCTAAATTTGGTGGTTCATAGCTTTTATTTGTAAAGCAGAAATAAAGACATCTCATCTATTATAAGTACTGAGATGATTTCTTAAAAGCACCAGCTAAAGGCTTTATATTACATGATTGGTAAATAGCACCACCTTTCTCCTCCTTCATAAGTTTTAAACAACAATAGGAGAGAGAAAGAGAGAGAGAGAGAGAGAGAGAGAGAGAGAGAGAGAGAGAGAGGAGGAAGGGGAAGGGAGGGAGGTGGGAAAGAAAGGGAGGGAGGGAGGGAAGGAGAGAGGGAGAGTGAGAGAGACAGACACACAGAAAGAGAGAGATACATACAGAGAGACAGAACAGAGCGACAGAGAGACAGACATAGAGAAAGAGGAACACAAACACAGAGGGACAGAGACATAGAGGGATAAGGAGACAGAGGGACAGAGAGAGAACCACAGAGACAGAAGAGAAAAGAGACAGAAAGAAAGGAAGAAGGAAGGAAGGAGAAAGAGTCTGAGTTACAGATAGGTATAGTATTCATTGAATACTATAAAGAGCTTGAATCAGGGCAACTTAATTCTGTTGTTTCACAGGTGTCTACATAGAATATGCAGTTTTCCCAAAGATGTCAAATATGTGGCTTGGCTGTCACAAAATCTCAAGAACTCTGACCATATGATGCCAAGATCTCACTGTTTACTTACAATATATAGTATTTTCCTCTTATTGATATTCACACTTTTTATTCAGTTTTAGTTACTCACAGTTGGTCATAGACTAAAATACTAAATAGAAAATTCCAGAAATCAGTATTTTGTACATTTAAATTACACACTGTTCTGGATATCATGATGAAATGTCATGTGATCTTGACACATCCTTCATGAGTGTTAATTATCCCGTTGGCCAGCTAATCTGTGTTATATATGATACCCACTTTTTGGTTACTTAGAAATCACAGGGTGTCTAGTCTCACAATGTTTATGGCACAAGCAAACCTTCTTTTACATAATCATGGCCCCACACTCGAGAAGTACTACTGGATGTTATCATAATGACTATTATAATAATTATTTTTAAAGTCTTAGACTTTATCTAATGGCAAAACTGTAGGTTAAATATGCTCAGTATGTAAAAGATCAACAAGAATAATTGTAGTTCACTGTTACCTGAGGCATAACAAATTTATTTGGAATCTTGGCATTATTGATACTTTATTTTTCATTAACATGTAAAACAGCATTGTTGGCTACTCTAGTTAGAGTATTTGTTAAAAATACAAGAAACATGAGTTGTTTTGTTGATGTATGCATGAGGACTGGACTCTACAACTCTGTGGTCTGTTCATTTGTGGGTAACATTGTATATAATGGACAAGTTATATTTAGGAATATATACAAAACTGCACATATGCATCTAACAATAATTAATGAAAAAGAGGCCACAGATGTGAAGGAGAGCAAGGAAGAGTATCTGGGGGAGTTTGGAGTGAGGAAACAGAAGACATAAATAATTTAATTATATTAGAGTCTGAAAAATTAAAGAAATAATGAAAAAAATAAAAACTATGAGATGTGCAGAAATATAAGCTACCACCATTATGTGGATAAATGAGTGCAGGCAATTTTGAAAGCGTGACTGTGGGGCTCTGCAATTCCAGGTCTTATTTCTCTTTACCGCCTTCTGTTTCAGAAAACTGTGAGTGGTACTGCTGGGCAACTTCTAGTGACAACAACTCATTCCTTTTCCTGGGACACTTTGTTCAGAAGACCAGCACACATCCAATTCACTGAGATATAACCCCAAACTGACAGAGTTCTTCTAGAGGGGACTTCATTAGTCTCACCAAGACTGGTAAGAACATAAAAGTACCCTGCTATCTAATGATATGACATGCTATTTAATGACACAATCTGAAGGATTTCTACTTTCTCATTGATTGGAAAGATCCATCTGAGAAAAAATTTATTGATGCCTTAATTGATATCTTTATCAGTAGTTTAGCAAATGCTGATCTATTTGAAGGTGTTATAGTGCTTACATAAAGTAACACAGTTGACATTTGCAGTGAGTAGATTTTCCCATCAAGCATCCTTCCTTGTAAAAATGTGGTACAATTTTATGAAATCTACAGTTGCCATGGTCTGTGTTGGTTTTACCTCTGTAAAGTCAGTAGCTGTAAAATAGGAAAGCAATTTCTTTCTTTTTTGTATGTATGTGTGTGGGGTTTTTTTGTAATTTTTTTATTAGTTCAAATTAGGAAAAAGCTTTCTTCACATGTCAATCCCTCCTCCCTCTCCCTCTCCTCCTGTGTGTATGTTTTTATTTTTTATTTTACTTAAATATCACTTTTTCATTTATTTTACATACTGACCTCAGTTTCCCCTCTCTCCTCTCCTCCCATTTCCCCATTCCCCCACTCTTCCAACACTCTACTCCTCACCCCTTCCACTAGTCCTCTTTCTCTGTTCAGAAAGGGGCAGGCCTCCCATGGGCTTGAGCAAAGCACAACTGTGATGAAAATGTTTGTTTTGTAATTATCTATATGCCATTTATTTCTTCCTTGGGTTTCTCTCCTGTATTACTCATATCTGTAATTTATTCTCAAGTTTGAAATATTGTTATAATACACAAGATTGTCAGATAGTCCTACAAGGGTTAGCTATCAGAGAACTGGGTCTGGGAACAGACTGAAGTGGAGCCAGATGGTAGACCAGAAGTCTCTACTGTGAGATTCCTGGGGGAGAAGTGAAGGTGAATAAAGATGGCTCTGCATATTCTAGACACACAGTGGCTTCCTGAGAACAGAAGTTTGGGCATAAAAACCATTGACAGCTGACAGCATGAAACCAGTGGTTAGATGGATGATGGGACCTGGAAGCCATCCAAAGGGTTTCCTTCTCAAGAACAACATGGGTTGTTCTTCATCTCTCATATCTGAGACTTGGGATCTAAATCAGTGCCTCTGAGACATACAACAGAAAGCAACTGACTTTGTAGACAATCTCCTGAGGTCCACATTCATCTACAGTGTCCAACAACTTTTCATATATTTTTCTGGATGATATAGCAAGGAACTTATTTCCTCAAAGTTCACTAGTAAGAAATGCCTAGAAAATAGGATCTGAGGGGTTGAAAGTGTGCAAATGCCACTATTCACAGCATGGTGACTGATAACATTCTAGTTCAGATCAAGGATTATCATTTGAATTCTGACTCTTCTGCCTTCTAGGCATGACTTCTAGGGTAGTTTTGAACATCACATAAACTAATTTATAAATAGAATCTAATATTAGGTCTGTTACTCAACAAGTGTTCATTAACTAACCATTATTTTACTAAGCTAAGGTACAAATATTTGAAATTATATTTTTAGGCTAGTTGATCTTGATCTTAATGTGATTTTTCTCTATGAGGACTTAAGTTTCTCATCCAAAAATTTTATTATGTTGCATGTTTCTTACTCTCACACAGGCAATCCCAATTGCAACACATTACAAGAGTTCTCAAGATCTTGGAGTTTTAAATCTGATGAAAATATGTCTGAAGATTATTATAGTTTAAATTTTATCATCATTCCTGTCATTTCTAACCTCTTGATTTATTGAGCAGAGTATCTAACTTTTCTAAATCCCCTTGTCTTTGAAACAAGGGCAGTAGAATATTTATCTCAGTTGTCATGAATAGTAAATGCTACAATTCACAATGCATGCCACAGAATTAATAAATTCAGGTGAGTCATGGTGAATATTACTATCATAATTATTATGATTATTCTTTAACACATGTTCAGTTGCCTTTGCTGTGATTGCTGATGTGGGGTTAGTCTCCTTGGTTCTACTGCAATAGGGTCTCATGTAGCTCAGGCAAGTCTCACAGTTCAGGTGTGCCACCATTACCTAGAGGTTGTTGCCAACATTTAATTTGTGAATCTGAAAACAAGCATCCCATGTTGTTTTTAATTTAGCATTTGAAACATGATGCTCCATCATCATTTAGACCCTTGTTGTGGTATGTTTAGTTTAAGCAAAAATTTCGTGTTGTGATGCTACTAAATCATCTTTGTGGAAAACTACTTATAAGCTTTCCAAATGTTATCATTTCCAAAGGAAGTTATGAAACATTGATTTTTAAGTGACCTTTACACCTTTATCTTAATACCAGATTTTTTTAGTTCCATTCTTATGTAGAACTTCGACACTGACTCAACCTTTGAGGTCATAAGGTAAACAGCCAGTAGGCATGATACACCATAGTTCACTACCCCTCTGCTAATGGTCTGACTTGGCACTCAGTTTTGTCTGCATGATCTTGAACACTGAGAATCTGCCTCTATATTCTAACCTTAAGTTCTAAATGAGTTCTAAAAGACCATGGTGTCCAACATATAGATGATCTACACACACACACACACACACACACACACACACACACACACACACACACACACATTTCCTTCAGGATAAACAAACTTAGAGAATGTAGGTCTAGAGGGAACATACCTAAATATGAGTTATATATGTAAATTTCACTAGCCCACATCATCCAAATGAATAGAGAGCAAATAGAAGCAATTCCACTGAAGTCAAGAATGACACAGGGCTATCCAATGTCCCCACTCATTTTTAGCACTGTGTTTGAAGTGATAGATGAAAGTAAGGCAACAGATGGTTATTAAAGGGATACAAATAGGGAGATAAGTTTAACTGTACCTGTTTTCAGATGCCATGATACTATACATTAAAGATCTCAACAGTTTTACCAGAAGATATGGTAAACAAATTCAGCAAAGTGCCAGGATTCAGAATCAATCTGCAGAAATAAATAGTTTTCTTTTAAACCAATCACAGTCAAACACAGAAAGAGATCGTGGACACACTTCCATTCATAATAGCCTCAAGGAAAATAAAATATCTAGAAATAAACCTAATCAAGGACGTGAATGACCTTTACAATGAAAACTTTAAACCTCTGAAGGAAGAGATAGAAAAGGACACTAGAAAAAACAAATCCCATGTTCATGGATTGGAAGAATTAATATAAAACTGAGCGTTCTACTGAAAAGCCATTACCGATTCAAGGCAGTCCCAATGGACATTCCCATCTCATTCTTTGAAGAAATAGGGTGGAAAAACTCCATTTTAAAATTCATTCAGAACTACAAAAGACCCCAGAGAGTCAAAATAATCTTGGAAAAACAAGACAAAAACAATGCTGGAAGGATTACCACTTAAGACGTGTTACAAAACCCTAGCAATAAAAACAATGTAGTACTTGCACAAAAATCAGACATGTCAAGCAACAGGATAAAAATTGAAGACCCAAACATGAGTACACACACTTTCAGCCATTTGATATTTGATGAAGATTCCTAAAAACATACTCTGGAGAAAAGAAAGCATCTTCAGAAATGGTGCTTAGTAAACTGAATGTCCGCATGCAGAAGAATGAAGTTATAGCCATGACTATTACTGTGAACACAGGCCAACTTCAAGAGGATCAGAGACCTATATGTGAAGCCTGAAACACTGTCACTTCTAGAAGAGAGCATAGGCAGCTCAGTACAGCATTCATCAGAAAGGACTTCCCAAATAGGACTCCCGAGAATCAAAGCCAACACTTGACAAGTGGAGCTTTGTTACGATAAATCTTTCCACCAAAAGCTGCCTGAGCCCCGCCTGCCCGAGTTAGGCCCAAATGAATACACAGAGAGACTTGTATTAGTTACAATGTTGCTTGGCCAATGACTAGGATTCTTACCTGTTAGCTCAGTCTCAATTATCATACATCTATATATTTTATAAGACTTATCTTATCAGACGCCTTATTGGCGTCCCTCCTAGCTGGTGGATCACATTGTGCCGCTGGAGCAGGAGCCGAGGGGAAAAGAGAGGGCCCTTCCTGTTTCTCTTTCGCTTAAATATGAGTCTCCTTGCTATGTCACTTCCTGCCGGGATCAGCACCTCTCTACTACATTTCCCAGAATCCTCTTTGACTCCTAGTTCCGTCTAACTTGCTGTCTCATTGGCCAAACAGTATTTTATTCAATAATCAATAAGGTAAACATACACAGTAGTACATTCACCATCAGGGCTTAATTGTTTTAAAGAGCTTCTGCTAAAGCAGCAATCAAGCAGGTGAAGGAGATGCCCACAGAATGAGAACCTTTGCCAAACAGACATCTGACAGAGGATTATTATCCAAAATATATAATAAATAGAAGAATCTAAGAGTCAAAAACAAATACAGGATCCATTTTTAAAAGTTGCCCTATTGACAAAGATACCATACACTTCAGAAACAGGCCCCAGAGGCCCCTGAGTTGGGACTGAAATCCTCTTCACTGAGGAATAGCTGTCATGGTACCAGGAGTGTCATTGCAAGCTTCCAGAGGCAGGAAACAGCCAATTGTGAACCACAACAGAAGCTGTCATGGAGCCTAATTCTAAGGGTGCAGTAGTCGTTCTCATGTCTTGATAGTAACCCAGAGCTCTGTAATTGGACTTAAGCCCTGATCAACAAGAAGAGGCATGCTAAATCCTGGTAGTAGAAACTTAGCCAACTACGCAGGGCAAGTGAAGTCATGGGTCATGGAGGAGAACCTATAGCTGTCACTTCACTAAATTATAACTATAACCCATAACTACATTCTAAATATGAGTCCTTATACCCAAAGGTAACTGCAGTCCTCACCCCTCATCAAGGAAAAATATTCATTTCCCAAAAGTGTTATGTGAGGTTTTGTTAGCATCTATCCTGTCTTCTAATTTAGTCTCATTTCTACTTGACACAAAACTTTGTAATAGATTTATCATTTCATTGCATTGAAAATCTGATAGTAAAATTGGTCATAGGAGAGAAATAAGAATTCTTGTCAAAATAGAACAGTTCAAAAACTTCTTTCACCTTTAAATATTTATTTTAATGTAGAATCTGGTTATACCAGAAAAAAATGGATCCAGTGAACTAAATTTCTGAATATTAAGGGGCAGGGGACTCGTTGTGTGTGTGTATGTGTGTGTGTGTGTGTGTGTGTGTGTGTGTGTCTGTGTTTTCACACCCTGTACTTCACACATGCAGGGGAGAAGCTCTACCACTAAATTTCATCCAAACCCCAATGAATTCACTTTCTAGCAGTATGATATTTTTCTCTTTAAAATCACTGCAAAACCTTGTTGAATAGCATTATCTAGTTTGACAACATCTTTTTGAAGCTGAAGACTCTATAAGAATAACCCATGTGTATGTTGCTATAAACAGCCCTACATGGGGATTCTTGTTAAATGAACATTAAAAGTACAAGTATGAAGGTCTGTTAAACTTTTTACAGAATTCCAAAGGGAAACATTTTCTGTGGTCTCTGCATCACACATAATTGCAGTTCCTGTTCAAAGTTTGTGTGCCTCTTCTGTCTGGTATTCAATGGTGTGGACTCATTGCAGAACTTGTTCCATCAGAGTAAATCTTAGTTTTGACTTTCAATATTTTAATACTAAATATTAAGTCCTTGATGTATTTCTGAGTCTTGAAGGTTTAGAATTCATGGTATTAGTACCTGTGAAGTTCTGGAGGGTGGGAGTGGGGAATTTTTATTGTTGTTGGTTTTGTTTTGTTTGGGGGACAGGATCTAACTATGAAGCCCTGGCTGGCCTTAGAGTCACCGTGTACACCAGGCTGACTTTGAACTCACAGAGATCTAACTACTTCTTCCTCCCAAGTGCTATGATTACAGATGTGTGCCACGATGTCTGGCTTGTGTCGATGGAATTTTAAACAAAGAATAATTTTTTTTTAAAATGTCTGTGGTTTTAGTAGATCTGATAGTTTATGATATATTAGGAAACAACAATGTATTTATTGTGGTAAGAGATCTTGAAATATAGAGAACCACAGTCAGTTCTAGACTCCCACCCAGAGGAGAGATTGTTAATTAGCAGTACTGCCAAGGCAAGGTGCTTTGGCACAGTGCCCCCCACCACACTGAAGGCCTCTGTGGGAAGATCTCTTTCACTGCAGCTATTGTGTCCTTCGAAGCCCAGTGAGCAGAGATGTCAGGGTGGCACTTCAATGACTGTTCCTCATATTCATATTTAGATCGCCTAAGGTCATATGGGGGAGCACCCTTTCCTCCAGAAGGACAGTTATCTTTACATCAGTCCCTAAGGTCTCCACACACCTTGCTTCATCATAGTGATTGGCAGACAGGGATCAATACCTAAACAATGACTCTAGGGTCCTCTTTCCTGTTCCAGGACAGCAGGGTAGTTTGCAGTAAGCCTAGTGTTCACTGACTTCCAGTTCCCTCGGGTTCTCCTTTTCCTCCTGTTACATGCTGAAGTTACATAAAGAATGCTTCCTATAACAAAAGCCAAAACCAAAGTTATACAGAATTGATGAGCCACTAGTTTTTCTGCATGAGCGATGTTATTGTATTGCCAGCAGGAAATATTTAAATATAAATGAAAATTTCTCCCTGAATTATTAAGGTCGATGAAGTAGATGGTAATTTATGGGGCTGGGGTCAAAACCGAGTCTTGTGTGAGCCTAAATTCCAGGCTGTTTTGTACTTGCACATTTCCATGTTCACCATTAGAGAAATTTATATTAGGCATTGTTTTGTGTCACTGTGACCAAAAACATGAGCAGAGCAACTCACATGAGAAATATTTGTTTGACTCACAGTTTTACAGTCCTTCATGGCTGAAAGAGTGTGCTGGAAAAGAGTAGAAACAGAGACAAAGGGAACAACAGGAACAGGTGAGACCAGGATAGGACACCCAATAACTAATTGCAGGAACTAGTTACTTCCTTAACTTGGGCCTGTCTTGTTCTTTCCAGTTGTCACTCACTCATTAAAGGATTCGTTAGATAATATCCACGCTCACACAGTTCTCTCAGTAAACAGCAGCAGAGACTGCCCCTAGACAAGTTCCTTACTGTCATCCTAGCAATCTCTCAGCCCAGTAAATAACAGTGAAGAATAACCACCATAGCCATTGGTCTGCAGAATGTTTGATGAAGGCTCTGTCTTTGTTAGTCAGACACTCAGTGTGTGTAAACTGTTTAGCATGTGTAATGAGTTATTGTCACAGATATTTTAAATATGCAAATTGATAAGACATTTTGAAGCCCTGATTTCAACTTGAGGCTATTTATATATACTAAATGTCTTTTTCCCCACCCTCCCCACCATAATAAATGCCCTGTCAGCACCTTAGTGACCTGTAAAATGAGGCATTAAGGGACTAGACTAGGAAATAGTACATTTGCATGATAATCTATGAAATTCTTCTTCTTCCTTGTATTAAGAAGTGCTGATCTCCTGATCTAAGACTATTTAACTTCTTATTCATTCAGATTCTGCCCTACCTATTGTGTTGTCATTTTAAATGATGCAAACATTAATTCATAATTTCCTTGTGAATTTCCAGAGAGATTCCCTCTGATCTGCTGTGTTGTTATTCTTGGGACCTGCCTCAGTCCTTGAGAATAAGAGTGATAGATAAATATAATCTGATGCTCACGAAAAGGGTCACTTTGTGTGAGCAAAGCCACCGTTATAATGAATACTATCAGCCAATGTTTTACATTTCAAATCTGGGGAATTGTGTGATTGTTCTTAAACACAGGGAGAGAATTGATTTTCTTATTTTCTGTCTGTTATCTTAAGTTCAATAGAATGACAAAAACTTTGTCCCATTTCATAGTTTTCAACTATTTTTAAATATATTGGTTTATAAAACACAGATAATTTAAAAACCAAGAGAAACTGTGATGTGATAGGCATAAAATATGACCACTGCTAAATGATACCATAGAAAGAATGATGCAAAGTATAGCCCTGGGAGAGCTTTTCGTCCCAACTGGGAAATAGATGAAGATGCTCAAATATAAGGGAAAACAGACACTTTGACACAACCATTTCAGATTTTCCCAATTATGATTTAGGTCTACATCTGTAACTTTCAACTCTTATATTTCATAGAATTGAAAACTATTGCAAAGACAAAATAAGCATGCATTTCCTTGAATGTTTAGTATTTAAACTCTACCATACTATACGAATCATTCATTCTGACAACCTGGGCATTAGAAGCTAAATGTCAATCATGAATAATTAGAAAAACCACCACCCAGTCCAATCAATAAATGAGTGATTCTTATAATTGTCTTTGCAATAATTTTCAATTCTAGGAACTATAATGTAGGTAACTGTTAGCCTCTCAGTTTGCCATATAACAAGTTACTGCTTTCTGTTTTTCTACATACTATGTTGGTTATGTGCTTTTAGACTGTATATGAACCCCAAGGCATTTATTATCTGAAAGCAAAAAAGAAAAAATCACTACAATTGTTCTTTTAAGCTGCTTTGTCCAGATCAACTGTTGGTATTAATATGCAGTATAAAACAATGGAAAGCAGACATTAGGTTTTAAATTACCCAGTGATCTTGCTCTAATTCAGAGCAATATTTGACATAGACCTTGTCAGATCATTTTGTTAGGGGGAACATAGGTCCTTTGGTATGATAATTGAAGAATCTTTTATAAAATATTTCCCAGGGATTGACCAGCCTTAAGTGTAGCTGTGCTGTCTTTGACTAAATGTCTCTATGGTCCACATGCCGTCCCTTCTGTAAATCTATTTCATCTCCATCTTTCTACCTTTTACAGCTCAGTGACCCCAAAGTATAATTTCTGTAGACCTCCCAGATTTATCATCCAAAGCTATGTAAATTGCTTTCCTAATTTCCATCAAAATACACAAAACACATAACAAAAGGAATTTAAGGAAATATGGATTTATTGGATCGTAAG